TCTCCTTCAGAAGTCTGCCTCAGTGGGACTCACTGAACAGACTTACGGTCCGAAGCAGGAGTGCTGATGGCTCAGAGGTCCAGCCTAAGGAGGTGGTGAAGCCGTGGGACTTACCTTGGAGAAGGAGTGAGACCCCTCGAGACTCCAGACTCCTAGACTGTTCCAAAACTGAGGCCATAGAACCCATCTGGTGGATCTATGACAGCTTCCCAGGATCACATTAGATCTTTTGGCCACAGCATCACAATGGGAGTTCATGTGCAGCTGATTATCCACCATAACCCCCAAGTCTTTTTCAGAGCCACTGCTTCCCAGGTAGAGTCCCCCATCCTTTAGGTATAGCCTACATTCTTTGTTCCTAGATGTATACATTTAGCCATATTAAAATGCATATTGTTTGCTTGCGCCCAGTTTACCAAGCGATCCAGATTTCTCTGAATCAGTGACCAGTCTCTTCATTATTTATCATTCGAATTTTTGTGTCATCTGCAAACTTTATCAGTGATGATTTTATGTTTTTTTCCTAGGTCAGTAGTTCCCAAACTTGTTCTGCCGCTTGTACAGGGAAAGCCACTGGCGGGCCGGGCCAGTTTGTTTATCTGCTGCATCCGCAGGTTCGGTCAATCGTGGCTCCAAGTGGCCGCAGTTCGCTAATCCAGGTCAATGGGAGCTGCTGGAAGCGGCGCGGGCCGAGGGACGTACTGGCCGCCGCTTCCAGCAGCTCCCATTGGCCTGGAGCAGCAAACCGCAGCCAGTGGGAGCCGCGATCGGCCGGACCTGCGGATGCAGCAGATAAACAAACCGGCCCGGCCCACCAGGGGCTTTCCCTGCACAAGCGGCGGAACAAGTTTGGAAACCACTGGTCTAGGTTATTAATAAAATGTTAGGGCCAAGAACCAATCAGTGCTACCCCACTGGAAACACACCCATTCAATGACTGATCCCCATAACTACCCAGATTAGTTCAAAAACATTAGAGGAAAAAATAGTCTTCTTTTCAAATATATTTTTCTTTTTTAGGTTCAGCGACTCAGCATACCACCTCAATAAAAATCAGATACAAGACTAATTTCATGTTACAGAACTGAACTACAGTAACTCCTCACTTAACGTCATCCCAGTTAACGTTGTTACGTCACTGATATATTAGAGAACATTCTCATTCAAAGTTGCGCAATGCTCCCTTATAACGTTGTTTGGCAGCTGCCTGCTTTGTCCACTGCTTGCAGGAAGAGCAACCCGTTGGAGTAGCTAGTGGGGCTTGGAACCTGGGTGGGCCAGAAGCCCCTCCCCACCCCCATCAGCTCCCGTAAATTCCCTGTGTGGCAGCCGCCCAGCAGACTACCAAGTGCCGGGCAGTTCAGGTGTCCCTCCCCCTTGCCGTGTGCTGCTCCTGCCCTCTGCCTTGGAGCTGCTCCTGGGAGCCTCCTGCTTACTGTGCAGGGGGTGGGGAGGAAGAGGGGTTCTGATGTCAGGGTGTCCCCCTCGCCCCACTCCTGTACCCCATTTCCACAGAGCAGGGCAGGAGAGGAGGGGGAAATGACACGACAGGGCTCAGGAAGGAGGGAGTTTGCTGGCAGCAGCTGCTGTCTCAACTTGCTGATCTACTTAAAAAGGCAGCGTATTTAAGAGTGGGGTCAGCGTACTTAAAGGGGCAATGCGCGTCTCTCTCTCTCTCTCCTCCGCCCCCCCCCCCCCACCTCGTGTGTCTCTGTCTCACACACACGCACCCCCCGGAACTTTGGTAAGTGGAGGGAGTGGTGTGCTCCAGAGGGATAGCACGGGTTCATCACCATGTTTAGTTGCCGCAGGGAATGTTTGCAGCCATTGCCATGCGTCTATTGTGTCTCCTCCCTCCATTTGTGCTGCCTCGTAGCGTGTGAGGCTACATTAACAACATGTTAACCCTTGAGGGCTCAGCCAAGTGTTAGCTCATCATTTAGCAGCAAGACATTCCCTTGGAAACATCCCACCCTCTGACTCTACCACCTCAACCAAGCTTCACAATCAATGTGAAGTATTAAATTGTTTGTTTAAAACTTATACTGAGTGTGTGTGTGTGTATATATATATATATATAATGTTATGTTTTTTGTCTGGCAAAAAAAATTTCCTTGGAACATAACCCCCTCATTTACATTAATTCTTATGGGAAAATTGGATTCGCTTAACATCGTTTCGCTTAAAGTAGCATGTTTCAGGAACATAACTACAACGTTAAGGGAGGAGTTACTTGTACATTCAGAATCCAGATGTACATGTCCTTTAATTCCCTCTTTCCGTCTATGGTTATTACAACTTATAAGGAGTTCATACAAACTTGTACTTGATGAACCCATTTTACAAAGGTCACCCTCCTTGTAAGCTTACACTACGTATTTTGCAGATCAAGTATAATCGAATAACTAAGATGTTCCTAACAAATTCAATGTAGTGAAACTAAAATGAAAACACACAGAAAAATAGCAAAATAATATTCCACTAAAGACTCAAAAACAATTTATAAATACAATATTGCAATTCACAAATGTTTCTAGGAAAATTTTGCAAAGGACAGTTTACCTCGCTGTCTAATCTCCATCGGTGAAAGATTTTGAGTTTCTTTGAGTTCCGACAATGCTTTCAATTCAATGGGCAACCCATGACAATCCCAGCCTGGTACATAGTGCACTTTATAACCTCTCATCATATGGAACCGATTAGTGATGTCTTTCAAAATCTAAAAAACATTAGACCAAATGTTATTTTTGATATAATTGTTATTACCATCCTCATTCCCCTACACATTAGCATGATACATCTCATCCGTATGTTACTTTATATCTTACTGGTTTTGGTGAACTCTGCAAAACCCAAGCACAATCAGGTGTGTTAAAGATTAAGTTTCAGCATTCACATTTATGTTTCTTATTGTACTTTCTAATAGCACATCATTAGAACCTCTTGATCAACGGGCAACCAAATTTTGCACAACAGAAGGCCACAGTTTGCAACTACGCAGAGGCTTGAGAGTTTCACCTAGCTATAACGAAGTGGAATTAGCATTTTATTATGGTAACATACTTCTGAAGTCACTATACACGTAATACTCAAACTATACATCTAGCAGTTTGCTGGGCTGAAGTAGAAACTGTATTTACTTTGACAGAATGAAAATAAGTTTATCATATGAACACCAATGTGAAACTATAAGCACCACACAGAGCCATTTGTCATTGTTACTATATATGCTTACCCATTAAATAGAAATGAATGGTCCTATCCTAAAGTAGTGAATATCCTCAATTTCCATTTACTTCAATGTGAATTGAGAGTGCACAGCACCTTACAGAAGGCATAAAACACCTTAAACATACTACTCTTATACTTACCTTATTTAACGCGTGACCAACATGAGGGTCTCCATTGGCATACGGTGGCCCATCATGAAGACAAAATTCATTCTTTGTGTTCCTTTGTCTTTGCCATGAATATAGTTCTGAAAAACCACATTTCTGTATAGACAATATGAAAACATTTAATTCATTAAAAGTTTTCATTTTAGTAGTTTAAAAAAAGTTTTCATTTTAACATCATTCCAACTGTCAAAAAACTATGAGGCAGAATTGCTCCAAATCCTCAAGTGAAGACTTTCCTCCCTGAGGAATTACTTGCCAACCTCCACTACCAAGCTAACAATATTGTCCCTGTTTTCTTACATTAAATAGAGCACTGGTTTGGCCATTTGTTCTTGGTATAACTCCCCTGAAATCAAAATAACATCTGGGACACATTTGGCTCATGTTTAACATTCATCAAGCTTTATAAACCAAAATCTTCTGCCTTCCTCGACCACTAACTCAAGATGGACTAAACTGATGGGGAGACAGGTTTGTAGGAAGTTCTTGTAAATGAACATTTTAAGATTGGAGCATGTTAAACCACAGGTTCTCAACTTTTTTTTTTTTCTGAGCCCTCTCCCCCTCCTGATGCTACTAAAAACTCCATGGCCCACCTGTGCCACGACTGTTTTTCTGCATACAAAAGCCAGAGCCAGCATTAGGGGATAGCAAACAGGGCAATTGCTGGGGCCACACACCACAGAGAGCCCCGAAACGCTAAGTTGTTCTGGCTTCGGCCCCGGGTGTCTCAGGGCCTCAATTGTCAGCCCTGCATGGCAGGGCTTTGGCTTTCTGCCCTGGGTCCCAGTGAGTCTAATGCCAGCCCTGCTTGGCGGACCCCCTAAAATCTGCTTGTGCCCCAGCCCCCCGCAGGGGGCCCTGGGCTGGGAACTACTGCGTTAAACAACTGCAGTTTGACGTCACCTTGGTTTAGCATTTGTTCTGTACGTGTAGGGCTGCGCTAGTGAACAATCATAAACTCATCTTCTAGCAGGAATATTACTCTGGTCTCCTGTTAATGACAGGTTTTAAACCGTACGTTAGATTTTATACGGGGGGGTGGGGGGCTTTGTGACACAGGTCACTCCCACTCCAGGAGTGAAGCAGACTCATTAGAAACCGCTCGCTGCGAGGAGAGGGAACAGCATGAATTCCCCATGCCACACAGTCCAATGCTGGGGGGCTGCAGGACACGCGGATGGACGGTGCCGAGCAGAACAGCTCCGCACGAACCCGGCGGGCTCCTGCGCGCGGTACCTGCTGTATCTCCACCTCGGCCTCGGGCTGCAGCCTGCCCGGCAGCTGGGCGGGGAAGCCGCTGCGGGGCAGCAACACCGTCTCCCGGTACTTGGAGTCCGCGCGGCTCTCCGGGCTCGGCTTCCCGCTGTTGGCCCCGGAGGCTGCCGAGCGCGCCCAGCCCCACGTGGCCCCCACCGGGGCCCCGCGCCTGGCTAACGAGGGCGCCCTCCGCGCCCACAACATCCTCGCGGCCTCCCCGGCTCTCGCCGCGCACGCTCCTGTGGCGCTTCCGGCTCGGCTACGGAGAGCGGAGAGGGCGTGACGGGCCGCGGGAAGGGACACACCGCCTTGAAAGGCGTTTCTCTCTCCCTCCCGGGAAGGGCTGGAATGTTGGGCACCCCCGGGGCGGCAGGGGATATTGTGCACATGAAATCACCCAGGCGTGTCCACTGGGTGGGTCAGCTGCATGGCGCTGTAGCCAAGCGTTGCAAAGGGTGAACTTTAGGACCCAGAAGGTTTTGGAGGCGTAGGAGGGTTATTGGGTGAAAAGGTAGGAGCAGCCAGGGTACTGCACAGAGGAAGTAGTCTGCTTTCGTTGCTGACGGTTGAGCCACAGGTATTTTACTCTTTATCCAGGGTTTGTGTTTTATATGTGCCAGTTACATATGTATCAGCATGTGGTAGTTATAAATGGGGAAGAAATTTTCCAGGATTAGGAGGGATTTCTGGTGGGAGAAAAAAGGAAAAATTTGGCTTGAAAGACAGTTAAATGTTCTCATTAACCGAGTTGTCGTGTATCCACGCGTCTTGTGATTTTAAGGGGTTCCCTCTATTCTAATTCTGTTTGCTAAAATAATGGTACAAGTTAGAATAGTCAATGCACATACGTATGAGATTTTTTTAAGCAAGGATGCCATCTGGAAAAGTACAAGACAGATATAATTTCAATTGCTTTATTTGCATTTGTATATGGGGGCAAAGGAATTATTTTAAGGGGCGAGTTCCTTGCTGTTTAAAAATAAAGGTAAAACTGTGTTAGATCAATTAAAGGTGATTTAAAAAAGCTAAAATAAATCTTTTAAAAAGTTCAACCTAAGATATTTTCCTCAATCATCTTTTCGCACTGGTTTGTTGTTGTAGAGCTGTTCATGAGTGGAAGGCTGTTGACTGTTTAAAAAAAAAAATCAGCGTTTTAAAGGGATGGGGGGAAATTGAAGGAATTTATTTTGATAGTGGAGGAGCAAACCATCTATACATTACATAGATTTTGGAAGCATAAAAGGAAAAAAACTATGTTACGGGCTACTACCTTCGGCAGTGTCTCTTTAAACACATGCAGTTTATTGCTCAGTTGAAGCAAAGCTGAAATGGATATTGCTGAGAACAAGGAAGAGGCTAAGAAAGTGAAGCAGCCACACCAAACAAAATAGGATTTTTGTTCTCCCTTATAACAGAACCAGTTACTTTAGCAGATACAACAAGAATGAGATACATCTGAGCATATGGTGGGTTTGCCACCCACAAGCCAGATCTACAGATTTTTAATTTTTTTTACAAAATTTACAATTTTACAAAATTAGGTTCTGATACTGCAGACACATCATTATTAGCCCAATGAGACTACTCACAGGAGTACAGTTAAGCACGTGCATAGGAGTGTCCAGGCTTTGGGTTTTATGCACATGTGCCACTACCACTTCAGCTGAAGTGATAATACAGTGAGAGCCTTTGGCCTGGTCTGCACAGGCAAATACAGACATTTAACTAAAAGTGTATTTTTTACATCAGTTCAATTAAACCAGTGCAAAACTTAAAGTGATTTGAACATCCCTGTTAAGCCTGGCATATGTTGGTTTATCTTGTGTCAGTAAATTCATGGATGCAAGCTAAACTGATATAAGCGGTTTTGTGTGTTTGAGCAGTGTTGGTCCCAGGATATGTGAGACAAGGTGGATGAGGTAATATCTTTTACTGGACCAACTTCTTGTCCTTTCCACCAACAACTTTCAGGCTTTGCAGAGCTCTTCCTCAGATCTGGAAAAGGTAACCAAGGTGTCACAGCTAAATACAAGGTGGGACAGATTGTTAAGCATAAGAAGTTAACAGGTGTTGGGGGAGAACGATTAAAATGAAGTGGGCAATTAATTCCCTAGCAGTTGTAGGACAAAGTTGGGTTAATAAGCTACAAAGGGCTAGTTTACACTAGAAGTGCTACAGTGGCGCAGCTGCAGCCTGTCTGGGGAAGATACTTTATGCCGACAGGCGAGAGTTCTCCTGTCAGCATGATAAAACCACCTCCATGAGAGGTGGTAGCTACATTGGCAAGAGAAGCTCTCCCGCCGATATAGTGCGACATAGCGCTGTCCACACCGGCGCTTAGGTCAGTCTAACTTGCATCACTCGGGGGTGGTATTCACACCCCAGAGCGACATAAGTTATATCAACATAAGTAGTAATGTTATAAGCCCAGAGTGTTGTAATGAGCCATAAAACCAGTGTCTGTGTTAAGACCATGGTTTTTAGGGTCCAGCAGAGTTATGAATTTCAGTTCCCAGGCTCATCTTGTGAAGGTTTCGTTTGAAGATGAGGGCTGAGAGTTTAGATATGGAGTGATCATTTTGTTAAAAGTGTTTGCCTAGAGGTGATGGTGTTTTTTGTCTCTTATTTTTCTGTGTGAGTTCATTTGAGAGCACAGCGATTGTCTGATTTCACCCATAAAGTTGTTGCTGCACCACTACTACAACACACACACATCCCCACAACACACCTTTCAAGATCCATGGGTCCTACTCATGCCTATCACAACATGTGGCGTACCTCATCCAACACATCAAATGCCCGAACAACAACTATATGGGTGAATAAATAATTCATAGCCCCAATTCATGATGCACCTAAGTCCTTTGAGTCTGATGAACCTAACTATGTAAGACTGGTGCCATGGAGCAAAATTATTCCTGACCCCAGTTGCTGATCATTTTCTTTGTAAATTCATTTTAGCTAATCAACTGTAGCTGCTATTCTTAGTAATGTAGATACCTAATTGGTGTTGTAAATGTTACTGAGTGACAAATGACCTTATTAAAAAACAATACAAACTCATTAAAACATATTTCTTCCTCAAGGCTTTTCAGCAAGAATCCACTAGAGAGAGATTTAAAGAGAAAGGAAATCATTACCTTTGAAACTGTGCCTTCATTTCAGTACTGTATGTGGTGTATTATGTCTTTCAGATGTCCTGTCTGTGTAACTTTAGGGCCCACTCCTGCAAGGTGCTATGTGTGGGGAGACCCCTATGCCCACATAGAGCTCACTTAATTCAATGGAACTCCAAGGTCACGGCCTCAGACTCTGAGCTCCTTGCAACAGTTGCTTTGACTTCTTGTATGTTTTCCATAGTACTAGATGCAGTAAGAGAGAGCTCAGTAAATAATAATATTTGTGTCAATAATATCCTGTGGCAGTGAGTGCTACGTGTCACATATGTAAAAAATTGACATCTTAGCCATTTTATAGATATTAATTTTAGTTACCAAAGGCTTCAAGTCCCATAGATCTAATTCTCAAAAGCAGCTGCAAAGGGAGCCAGACTTTAGCCTCAATCATTCTGACCACATCTTCCAGCTAAATACCTTCCAAAGTCAAATTTATGTGGGATTAGTAATAATAGTTTAGATTACATCTTTAACAATTAAAAGAGGCTATCCAGTGGCTTAGTAGTCATGCTCTGCAGTCCCATGTGAGATCTTTGTTAGACATGCCAAACTTAGTCTCTTGCTCTTGGGGCTGGCGGTGACTGGTTATGCTGTGGAGGCAGCCCATCTGGCTCTGGGGAAGGAAGCAGCTGATTAAGAAGTGACAATGACAGATTCTAGAGACAGGTTTCAGAGTCCTTCTCAACCTGAGGGATGCCTTGACAGGACTCTATCTAAAGACTGTTTGTCACTTGGAACTCAAATTGAGAGAGAACTAGAAAAAAAGGCATTTAATTTAACAGGGTAGATTGACTTAAATCAAAGTGATGTAGGTGCCAAATGTGACTCCATATTTGAGTTTGATTTATGTTTAATTTAAATTTTAAAAATCTGATTTTTGAAAAAAAGTCAATTTTTATCCACCCACTTTGACAAAACAAGGCAATTATTATAAATGTGCTTTCCATCAAAGGATCACAAAGCACTTTGCTGATTAATTAAACCTCACAACACCCCTATGACGCAGGTAAGTAGTATTATTCGTATGTTACAGATAAGGAAAATGATGCATAGGCAAATTAAATGATTTAATCAAGTTTATACAGGAAATCAATAAGTGATCCAGGAATAGAACTCAGGAATCTTAATTCCTACTCTTCCATGCCCTAATTCCTACTAATTCCTACTCTTCCTGGGCTAAAGCACAGGAGAGCATGCCTGATGATGTTCAAGCCAGAAATGGAGGGCTGTAATCTGATGTAATTTTGGCATTAATCTGGGTAATTTACATGACTCTAGGTTTCAAAATGAGAATTGTAAGTTTAGTGTTACCAGTAAAGTTATTAGACTATACTGCAAAAAGAACAGGAGTACTTGTGGCACCTTAGAAACTAACAAATTTATTTGAGCATAAGCTTTCGTGGGCTACAGCCCCTTCATCGGATGCATAGAATGGAACGTATAGTGAAGATATATATATATATATATATATACACATAA